TATATTCTTATTTGAACATATTGTTAGTAGGTTGTCTTTGCCATGAGACTGTATGCTTCCAGTCAGGGAAAAACAATTTAATGAAAGTTTGTGCATTCATTATTTTGGTTTCGATTTCACTAAGCCATAATTGCTGACGTGTGCCTCGTAATTAGTTTACATAAGAGATCTCAAATGAAAGGAAATCAAAACTGCTATTTGCTTCAGAGCATTTTCTTAATGAACAACATGCCAATTACTCATTCCACTCAATTGGAGATTAACTATGCATAACATATCAAGCTGAGCAACAATTTATATGGATATAATTATGAAAAAACTCCCAAATTACAGGGAATAAATAAATAGATTCGTTCCTTGCGTACTCAAGAGGCATCATTTGCGGCTTGCTGAACCAGAAATGATAGCAACTAAAATATCGACGATTCAGTAAAATATTTTGCCTGATACCACAAAAAAACCGTAGAAAGTGAATTCCATTTTCAGCGAGTTTTCAATGTTGTTACAGTTGTGTAACGGAGAAGTCACTCAGTACGTGTGTTCACAAATACGTATTCTTTGGTGTGTTTCGTCCCCATACTAGAATTAATTTGAACCAAACATTCGTTTTGTTGAATCCTATCTCGAGCACCCACTTGATCCTTCCACAAATATCTACCAGTCTTTTCAAAGTGGTTTTATTGGCCTTAAAAATTGGTGACAAAACGACTGATCGATCGGTTGCAGTTGTTTCATTTCAGTACTGGTAAAGGAGTGATGAGGGCGTCCCAGTTCCTTGTTTTGCGTTGATTTTTTTCTCGTTTTTTTTGCTGATTTTATTTAGTCTGTTGCTGATTTATGTTGATATTATCGTCTTTTTCTTTTTAACTTATTTCCTCCTAATAAGTCGGGATGTTGATTTATTTCTTCTGGAAATAAAGTTCACACCGAATGATTTTCGAATGAAATCATATATAATTTTTATGGTGATTTTGTACTTTTTTCTCTTGTTTTTTGTTTGCTGATTTCATTTGTTCTCCGCACCCCGTCCACGTTTTTTGTTTTTGCTAGCTTTCTTCACTTGCTTTTTTAAATATAATTCTCAGATAAAAAGCAAAGCTCGGTTCCCCAACCAAATCGAAGAAAACAACCGATTTTTAGCGGCCATCAAAAGGAACTGAAAAAGCAGACTTTTGATGGAAACCGATCAAAACCGAAAAAAGCGATGGCCATCGACCTGATCAAATGCGACTGGTGGCCACAAAAAGAATTTTTTGGGACCCCAATTCTAACTATCATGACGACTATAAGTTCAGTCTTGGTTGACGACCACAAAGATAACGAATAACAGCTGTAAGTACCGCAAAAGCTGTATTTACATGCTTGTATTATATTTCACCGTAAAGAGACGAACAATTTGCGTCAATAGGAGGGGTGTTTAGTATTTGCATGGGACCCCGAGAATCTCGAGAGGATTATCAGAAACTTTAAGTTAATATACTTCGAGTTATTGTCGAGAATGAACACTGAAAAGGGACAACGCGTCGGTAGTGACCTGCTTGTGCATTCGAGGGTTGAAGAATATTCATCCTGTTGTTTTAAGCTGTTCTGTCGCAGTTCTTCTCATCTGAGAAGTGCTCAGTTCTTTATTGTTCCACTTCACTTCTTTACAGAAACTGCTCTGTTATATACAGATGTTCTTTCGATGAAAAGAACAGAACATTACAAACAATGTTTTGTATTTTGCGAAAAAGTTTCTTATGTTGAGATAATTTATGACCAGATAGCATCGTTTCGTGATATAGATGAACAACAAATAGCATATAAAAATATAAGAAATAAAGCATTTGATGGAAATCAACAATCCTTTAACGATGTTCACAGTTCTGCAACATCGATTGACTTCGTTCATCTGAAAGTGAATTGCTTATCGTGCTTCTAATACAAGTCTGATAGCCATTACATTTGAATTACGCAGTTGTGAATGATATGAAGTGCTCTAAGAATGATATAGAGTGCAATGGTTGGTTTTTCAACGATGTTGGCGTTACTGCTCGATTTCAAAATTGCTTTAGAGATATAACTCAGATTGATTCCGGAGTTCACAAGTTTTAACAGAGAGTGATACTGACTGCACTATCTTTGAAAATATCTATATTATTGATATGGCTAAAAACTTTTCTTGTCAAGCAACAGTTTTTCTAATGTCATTTGAATTTTCACATCGGAATCATCTATTCATTTCCCCCATATGCTTGTTTTGAATTAAACAGTAACTTTATCGCTAGCAGCGAATCGTTGGATACTATCATATCAAAACGAAGAACGTTTAAGAGAATTATTTGGTAAAGTAATGAGTAATGTTTGAAATAAATTTAAAATCAGTTCGAAAAGTTACCATTCGAAGATGAAGGATGTCGTCGATGCAAGATTGTTTTCGTGACGTTCCCTTCGGCATCAACTGTTTCGTATTCCTCCTCCGTAGCCAATTGACAAACTCGAGCTTCATTCTCTGTACCAGTAAACTGAACGTGGCTTATCACTGGATCTTTGACACGTGTAAGTACTCGTCTTGAGATAGTTTGTACACACCCATTGTCGTTCAATTGCGTTGTTTCGAACGTTGTCAGTGTTGTTGGATAATCGCCCAACATTACATCTAAATCACCAGACAGCGAATCACGTTCGTCTTCCTGATATTCCTGGAACGTATCACCGCTCAGCATACCATGCGTATCTTGACTGGCCATTTCTTGACTACTCGTACCTTCCAGTAGCGAATCTCGATCGTGTGGAATGTTCTCGAGAGAATCTCGTAAGCTGTCTTCGGTTATTTTCTCAGTTAGTTCGTATTCTTCAAAAACTCTTTCGTTCTTTGATGTCACTATTTCAATAGTGCCACTGATGATCGGCTCCAAAGAATCAGTACTTGTTTGCAACAGTTCCGGAATGACTTGTTCGAAACCTTGTTCAATACTGTCGGCCGGTGATGCAACTGGTGTCACGACTTGATTCTCTTCAACAACAGGTACTGATTTTATATCTGCTATAGAATCAACTTCTTCTTCATCATCGTCTCTTATACTCATGTCTTCGACCTCTGATTCTTCACGAATATCTGACAGCATCATCACTTCTTCCTGTGGTGATCCCTCACCAACCTCTTGTTCTAGCCTTTCGAATTCAGCCAATGAACTCGATGAACCATCCGCTGACGAGGCTTTCAACTTTGTTGCTGCGTACAATTCTAGTTCACTTCCACTCAAACTAGATTCGCCTTTATTTAGCATATCTCTTTCTATTCGTTCGAATTCTTGCAGACTCGTCTCTGAAACATTATCACTAGAGATATGTTTGTATTTGCCGAGGACTGTTGAGTCTGTAGTTTGTCCATTCGATGATACACTTTGACCATTCAACGAATCTACATCTTCTGGTTCTTCTTCAACAGTTTCCAGTTCAACTTCAGATGATCGAACTGGCTCCTCTTCTGGTGAATAGCCTCTATACTCCACTTCAGGTGATAATTGCGGCGTTCCCTGTTTTGGTGAATGTTCGACTTGTTCTGCTTCAGACCAAGTCATTTTCAATTCCGGCGTTAAACGCTCCACAAACATTTGCGGCTCGTCATGTGAACTTTTACGGGAACCGTTACTGCTTCGTCTGGAAGTACTGTATCGCTTTCCACTGCTTCCACTCTTCAACGAAATTCTATCCAATGAATCCAATGAATCAGACTGAATATTCCCAGACGAATCGGATGAAATTTCTGGTGATGTTCGTTCTGCTCCTTCCATAATTTTTTCCACCTCGGTTCCACCGGTACGATCCTCTAGAGAAACGTCAGAATTTTCTTTTAGGAAATCTTTCTTGATCTCCATTGCTTTCTCATGTATGGATTCATCGGATGTCTTCATGTCTTTACCGCTTCCTAGGTAATTTTTCACATCTCTTTGTCGACCAGACGATTCGTTAACTTGTCCTTTTTTCGAGCTTTCAACGATTGAGGCAAAGCTGCTTTCTGTGGATAGCTGATCACTGGGACTACGCCATGTGCTCTCTTGGGCATGTTCTTCAAATCTGAACAACGACTCTGTGTTTGTTATTCCTTCCCATGAAGTCGATTGTTTTGTAGATGAAGAATCGATGTTTGTTATAATGACAATACCTTGATCCTCTTCCTCAATCACCGACGGCGGAATAGGTGAAATCGGTCGACCCGGGTCAGCTTCGGGTATTAACAGAACACCGCTAGCGGAAGTTGCTATGCGCTCCTCATCTGGCTCTTCTTCGTCTTCAACAGGTGCCAGCTCTATTTCAGGCACTTCTGGGGTAGATGTCTTAGAATCGAAGTAAACATTCAAATTCCGACCAACTATCAGCTCTTGTTCGTGATCTTGAGCGGCCGTAAAATGCCTATCAGACTGAACTGGTGAAACCATTGCAATTGGTGTGGCACTCCCACGACGTTCTTCGCTCGCCTCACTCAAATAACTTTCGCCTCCACTTGTAGCTGTGGTGTATTCTGATTCCTGAGATAGGAATCCTGGAGCAGTTTCGAACGTATCTTCTTGTGACGTGAGGCACGTTTCATAACCATCTCTAGAGGTTGCTGTTTTATAAGTCGAATCACTATTTGAAAATGTTTCAGTGACATTTTTCAAGATCTCATCAATCATTTGAACAACTTCTTCTTCGATTCCCATTTCATTCAGTAGCTTTTCTGGTGATCCTTCCTCAATGAAATCATCTCGTATCATACCGATCAATTGAAGTCCATCTAAGACAGCTGTCTTATTCTCTGTAGCTAGCGCATCTAATTTCTCTTTTAAGTCAGACTCGTAGTCCACTTCGTGTTCATGTGCCGCATCCACTGACGAGGTTTTTGGTAGAACTCTGTTATCGTCATTAACGAATGAACTTCCATTTTCGCTACTTGAAAGTAATTCTGGAACATTGATATCGCTTCCTTCATTCTCACCGGTTGCAATGCTTTCACCCAAACTATCAAATACGTCTTGAACCATATGATCACTGAATTCTTCAGCAATTCTACCACTTAAACTGCTGAGTAATTCAAAATCGCCACCGGCAATGTGTAACGCGTCATCTCCACCGGATGATATCTTAACATACGATTGCCTTTCAAGTGGCTGCTGCATATTTGAAAATTTCTCCGCATTGATTACCTCAGTTGGCGACTCCACATCAGAAATGCCAACCATACCTACATTGCTTAAAGCCTTTTCATCAATTTCTGGTCCAATCTGCCATTTTGAAGAACCCGAATCGGCCCGGAATTCACCGAATGAACATTTTGAGAACGTTCCTATTTCAAATTGTTCAACCACTGATTCCGTTCGTGAAACAGGCAATTTCTCTCCCATAACCTCTACATCCACTGTTAGAACGGAATCTTCCTCCATTATGCAATGAGCAGATCCGAATTCCCCGTTACGTGGTAGGGAGTCAGGCACTGCAGATAATTCTTCATCTCTATAGAAAGAAATTCCACTCATTACGTTTTCCAATCCAACATCAAACCGCTCCCCATACGCAGGAATGGTAACATCACGTTCCTCCAATGACGTGTACTCTTCCTTAATATTATATCCATATTCATCAGATCGTTCCTCACCTACGGTGCCAGTCAACTTCTCCGCAGTCATTTCCTGCTCAAAGTCAGCGCAAATCTCTTCCTCGATTGTAGGACAATGAATCTCTTCCGTTGTTTCCCTGGTGAATTCATATTCACTGGAAGATGAGAAAGAAGTAGCTTCATAGTCCAATTCTCCTTCCTTCTTTGGTGCTTGTTCAGTGGTAACACCTTCTCCGTAGCCATGCAACAATGTTTTCTCCTTTCTCCCCTGGTCTTCGGACTCTACTGAATGTTCCTCTACTTCTCGTTCCTGTGCTTGTGTTATCTGATCTTCACCAGTCGGTTGTTCAGAATAGTCATGAAGACATGTCTCCACGTCGGGAGAAAATTCTTGTTTCTCCGCTTCTTGACCTTTGTGCTTAGATGCAGCATCGTATGCTGCAATAGCCCCCGTTGCTGCCAACGCTACGGGTGCAGCAACAACGCCACCAGCAACCACACCCGCTTTCTTTGCGAATCCAAATATTTTTGAGGTGAACGTTGAGTCTTTTACGTATGATTCTTCATCGTCGGGGCTTCCAAATTTAACTTGTTGCCTTGCAGTTCGCTCCTTTTGCTCAGCACTTTCTTGTTCTTCTGCGGCCGCATCAATCTCTTTTGTTTCAAAGCTGTATTCTTCAACATGTCCTGATGGAGCATATTCAGCGGCAAATTCCTCTTTTTTCGGCAGGGGAGCTTCATCGATCAATCCTTCTGATTCGAACTTCTCGTCGTACGCAGCAGTGGTGATTTCAGGTTTCTCCAATGACGCGTACCCTTCCTTAATTATAAATTCGTATTCCTCAGGTGGCTCCGCTACCTCAGTACCAATAAATTTCTCCGCTGACATTTCCTGATCAATCACGCTAGCTGCAACTCCTTCTTCGATACTAGTATCAAGTTCGTGCTTTGTCATTGGTTCTGGCACTTTTTGTATGCCGAACTCTTCTTCGCTTATTGCTGGGGAGATCTCTCCCTTGACATCGTAGTTAACAGTTTCAAAGGAAGCAGGTTCGGCGTGAAATTCCTCTACCTTCCGCAGTGGTTCTTCAGTGATCACCTGTTCATACTGGATCCTCTCATCGTACACAGCAGTGGTGATTTCAGGTTTCTCAAGTGATATAAACTCTGCCACCGTTTTCAATTCATATCCCTCAGGAGGTTCGGTCACCTCGGTACCAACAAAGTTCTCCGCTATCATGTTCTGTTCAAACACGTCAGTTGGGTGTTGTGCTTCCGCAGTGGTACGAAGTTTGTGCCTTGTCATTGGCTCTGGCACTTTTTGTAAGCCGAACTCTACTTCGCTTATTGCTGGGGAGATTTCTCCCTTGACATCGAAGGTAACAGACTCGAAGGAAGCAGCTTCAGCGGGAAATTTGTCTCCTCTCTGTAGTGGTCCTTCAGTGACCACTTCTTCAGTTTCGAACTTCTCGTCGTACGCAGCAGTGGTGATTTCAGGTTTCTCGTGCGATGGGAAATCTGCCTCCGTTTTGAATTCATACCCCTCAGGAGGTTCCGCCACCTCAGTACCAATGAATTTCTTTGCTGACATTTCCTGATCAATCACCCTAGCTGCAACTCCTTCTTTGGTAGTGGTATCAAGTTCCTGCTTTGATGTTGGTTCTGGTACCTGTTGTACGCCGAACACTTCTTCGCCTGTTGGTGGGTAGCCCTCTTCCTTGATTTCGTACGTAACAGTTTCAAAGGAAGCAGGTTCAACGTGAAACTCCTCTTCCTTCCGCAGCTCCTCTTCAGTGATCACTTCAATTTCGATGTTCTCGTCGTATGCAGCAGTGGTGATTTCGGGTTTCTCCAATGACGTGTAGCCTTCGTTAGTTTTGAATTGGTTTCCTTCAGGCGGTTCCGCCATCCCGGTACCAATAAATTTCTCCGTTGACATTTCCTGATCAATCACGCTAGCTGCATCTCGTTCTTCAGCATTGGTATCAAATTCCGGCTTTGTCATTGGTTCTCGCACTTTTTGTACGCCGAACTCTTCTTCGCTTATTGCTGGGTAGATCTCTCCCTTGATATCGTAGTTAACAGTTTCAAAGGAAGCAGGTTCGCCGTGAAATTCCACTACCTTCCGCAATGGTTCTTCCGTGATCACCTGTTCATACTGGATCCTCTCATCGTACACAGCAGTGGTGATTTCAGGTTTCTCAAGCGATATAAACTCTGCCTCTGTTTTCAATTCATATCCCTCAGGAGGTCCTGTCATCTCGGTACCGACAAATTTCTCCGCTATCATATCCTGTCCAAACACGTCAGCTGGGTGTTGTGCTTCCGCAGTTGTACGAAGTTCGTGCTTTGTCATCGGATCTGGCACTTTTTGTACGCCGAACTCTTCTTCGCTTATTGCTGGAGAGATCTCTCCCTTGACTTCGAAGGTAAAAGTCTCGAAGGAAGCAGCTTCAGCAGGGAATTTGTCTTCTCTCTGTAGTGGTACTTCAGTGCTCACTTCTTCAGTTTCGAACTTCTCGACATACGCAGCAGTAGTGATTTCAGGTTTCTCGTGCGAAGTGACCTCTGCCTCCGTTTTGAGTTCATATACCTCAGGAGGTTCTACCACCTCGGTACCAATGAATTTCTCCCCTGACATATCCTGAGCAGTTATGCTATCTGCAACTCCTTCTTCAGTAGTGGTATCAGGTTCCTGCTTTGACAATGGTTCTGGCGCTTTTTGTATGCCCATCTCCTCTTCGCTGATTGCTGGGGAGATATCTCCACTGACTTCGTAGGTAACAGTCTCGAAGGAAGCAGGTTTGGCGGGAAATTCCTCTTCTCTCAATAATGATTCTACTGCCATCACTTCTTCAGTTTCGAACATCTCGTCGTACGCAGCACTGGTGATTTCAGGTTTCTCGTGCGATGTGAACTCTGCCTCCGTCTTGAATTCACATCCCTCAGGAGGTTCTACCACCTCGGTACCAATGAATGTCTCCGCTGGCATTTCCTGATCAATCCCGCGATCTGCAACTTGTTCCTCGGTAGTGGTATCACGTTCTGGCCCTGTCGTTGGTTCTGGTATCTGTTGTACGCCGAACTCTTCTTTGCCTGTTGGTGGGTAGGCCTCTTCCTTGATTTCATAGCTAACATTCTCGAAGGAAGCAGGTTCAGCGGGAAATTCCTCTTCTCTCCGTAATGGTTCTTCAGTCACCACTTCTTCTGTTTCAAACTTCTCGTCGTACGTAGCTGTAGTGATTCCAGGTTTCTCGTGCGAAGTGACCTCTGCCTCCGTTTTGAATTCATATCCCTCAGGCGGTTCTGCCACCTCCGTGCCAACGAATTTCTCCGTAGTTATTTCCTGTTCAAAGACATGAGCTGCAAGTTGTTCTTTCGCAGTGGTGAGAGGTTCCCGTTTCGTCGGTGGATGTGGTAATTTCTCTACGCCGAACTCTTTTTCGCTTGTTGGTGTGTAAATCTCTTCCTTTGTTTCACTGGTGCATTCATATTCTCTGGAAGGTGTGAAAGAAGTAGCTTCATAGCCGATTTCTCCTTCATTCTTTGCTGCTTGTTCAGTGGTAACAACTTCTTCGTACCCATGCAACAATGTTTTCTCTTTTCTCCCCTGGTCTTCGGACTCTACTGAACGTTCCTCTACTTCTCGTTCCTGTGCTTGACCAGTCGGTTGTTCAGAATAGTCATGAAGAGATGTCTCCACGTCGGGACAAAATTCTTCTTTCCCCGCTTCTTGACTTTTGTGCTTAGACACAGCATCGTATGCTGCCAACGCTACGGGTGCAGCAACAACGCCACCAGCAACCATACCCGCTTTCTTTGCGAATCCAAATATTTTTGAGGTGAACGTTGAGTCCTTCACGTATGATTCTTCATCGTCGGGGCTACCAAATTTAGCTTGTTGCCTTGCAGTTCGCTCCTTTTGCTCAGGACTTTTTTGTTCTCCTGCGGCCGCATCAACCTCTTTTGCTTCGAAGCGGTATTCTTCGAGATGTGCTGCTGGAGCATATTCAGCCGGAAATTTCCCTTCTTTCTGCAGTGGAGCTTCATCGATCAATTCTTTTGATTTGAACTTCTCGTCATATGCCGCAGTGGTCATTTCAGGTTTCTCCAATGACGCGTACCCTTCCCAAATTTTGAATTCGTATCCCTCAAGTGGTTCGGCAAACTCAGTACCAACGAATGTCGCCGCTGGCATTTCCTGATCAATCTCGCGATCTGCAACATGTTCCTCGGTAGTGGTATCACGTTCTCGCCTTGTCGTTGGTTCTGGCACTTTTCGTACGCCGAACTCTTCTTCGCCTTTTGGTGTGTAGGCCTCTTCCTTGATTTCATAGGTAACATTCTCGAACGAAGCAGGTTCTGCGGGAAATTCCTCTTCTCTCCGTAATGGTTCTTCA